CTCTAGGAAACTTTTTAGACCTTTTTTCCCTTAATCACTACTTTCTTCCCCCTGCAACCCGCAACCTTAAACCACACATATAGTACGTATCTGTTTATGTAGTATGGTCTTTTGAAGAGCCACAACCATTGTAATAGCTAACATTTTTTTCAGCCCTCAAGAACCGATTTTCGCTCCCTTGGGGGCAATATCTTTTCTACTGAGAATGCATTGCCCATGATAACGTCTGTTTCTACTTTCTTTGGGGTTATTTATTTTCCTTTTCTTCTGAGTTGAAAGCTTGTTCATTCACTTCCAATTTTTTTTTAAGTAAAAAATTTAAGGCTATAAACTGTACTTTCTCCCCCAGTGCTGTTTGCTTGCATCACAGAAGTTTTGCTGTTTTGTACTTTTGGTTTTCATTCAGTTCTAAATTTTTGTAATGGCCACTTTTATCTGAATTATGTAGAGGCTTGCTTTTATATTTCCCCATACATGGATATTTGGGTAAGATTTTTATTGTATTTTTATGTGACTGCCTACCTGGAATTTGTTGAAACTTTCTATCTTACCACATGGTCAACTGAAATTCCTGCAATCTTTCAAAGTTTGATGTTTTCTGTAGGCTTTTGGTAGACACTTTTTATCAATTAAAGAATTATTTTTGTTACCAGTTTGCTAAGGTGTTTTTACTTTTTATTTATTTTTAATTATTCTTTTATTGAAGTATAGCTGATTTACAATGTTGTGTTAATTACTGCTGTACAGCATGCTAAGGTGTTTTTAAATTAAATCACAAATTGGTGTTGAGTTTTAACAAATACTTGTTTTGGAACCAATTGAGATGATCATGCATTTTTCTTCCTAATTTCTATTAATTTGATTAATTACTTTAATATATTTCATGTGTCTCATCTACCCTATGCTTTCCCTTAGAGGCCTAACTCTGTACATTCTCCAAGGCATATTTATGTTCCCATTTACAATGATAATATCACTGAGACTAAGCTAAAAATGTTAGAAGTAATACATCTATATTTTCTTTAACCTTCTAATATACCCATCTTAGCGTTGATGGGATGATTTCCCATTGCTTTCTCTACAGATTCAGGTAGGTACCTCTCAATATTTCCCTGGATCTGAGATCCCTGGTGGAAGTGGGTATTTCTGTTTTCTCTCTGAGAGCTTGCTTCCATTCTTCTGTTATATCTCTTTGGGCTCTAATTACCTCCTCTAATTAAGTAATGACTCAACTACCACCCTCTTCTTTAGTCCCATGGTAAGATCATTTGGCTCTGCGTCATTTTCATTTTCCCATTTGTATTGTCAATTTTTTGTGCCCTTTAAGAACACAACCTTTCTTCTAAAGAAATCCTTTTCTTCCTCCAGATCAACTGGCCTGTCTTCCTTCACTTTTCACCCTCCCACTGCTTCTATTTTGACTTCAAGGCCTGAACATATATTTGCAACAAATACAATTCTTACTTGATTTCCTGAATAGACCTACTTCCTAGGAAGAGAAGAATCCAGGCACAACACTTTTTAATACTCTTCCTAGCCTTTGGAATTACAATAGCATTGCTTCTCTCTACCCCAAACCCCCATATAACAAACATTTGCATTTCTCTTTTTATGTTTATGATTAAAATCCACCATTCCTCTGTGATTGAACACACAACTTGAGTTCTTGAAATTCCCGTCAGGGCTCATATAGTCAACACATCAGGCACTTGGGACATAAATGCAAGGTGACTCTGAACACCCATGTGAATTAAAGAAGTTGGCCCCTTCCATCAAGATTAGCCCAAATTGGGTGAAACTAGCCTAATGCCACCTGCTAATCTCCAGCACAATTTAAGGGCTAGACTCTCCCAAGTATGTTGTAAGTACACATGGAACTTATGCCATTAAGTTCCTTAAAGTCCTCGTCTGCAATTCTGGCTGAGAATAAATGGCAGCACAAATTTTTCCATTCAATAGTGCCTTTCCCTTCTGCAGCAAGCCTGTCTCAACTATATCTATGTGAATCAAGATCAGCCACAGTGACCTGTACTTTTGCAAAGCTCTATGTCCAGTACCTCTAAAAAAACAATGACTTGCCTATGGACATTAGCTACCATAAGCTGCTAGAACTTGAAAAGGCCAAACAACTAAAAGGCCCAAGATCACTACAGCACTAAACCTGTGCCCTTGCAAACCAGATGTTCCATCTCTACACATCGTATTTTGGTCCCCTAATTCCAGTCAGAGTGCCTATTTCTCAAGGCTTAATAGCCAATGCATATTTGCATGTGTTGGGGCTTAAGGGGGAAAATTAATCATATTCATTTCCTTTCTAAGTTCTCAATCAACTAGGTAAGAGATACAAGAATCAGACCAATGAGGATCAAAATATCAGTATTTTGTTGGTGAGGCTATACCTATAGCCAAAATTGGGCTTTCTAATACCAACCCTCCACTGCCTTTCCCACCCTTCCCAATTCCTCCCATTGGTATTACTCACCCAAAGAATATAGAAAGAAAACACTTACCTGGAGAGCTGCAAGGGGGAATGGCTGTTCCAAAAGTGGAGACACAGAGAAGTGCTCTTCAGACCTGCCTCTGGAAAGCAGGCCTGGGCCTCAGGATGTGTGCTTACCATATGAAAGCTGGATCCGAGTGGAGTGGGTACATATTGCAGGCAGAGGTACAAAAGAGAGAAGAGAGCTTAGAAAGAAAGAGAGAGAGAGAGAGTGTGTGTGTGTGTGTGTGTATGTGTGTGTACATGATGACCCTCTTCTGTATGTCTCCTTCAGAGAACACAATCTTCCTTTGGAGATTAAGTAAGAGGTAGAGACACAGACCAAGAGTGATATTCCAATACAGTTTCCTACTTGGAGGAGAATAGGGAAATAGGGACAAATGACAGATTCTTGTCCCTGTGGGTGGGGCAAGGCCTGTACTCTTCATCCCCTCCCAGCAGGGGCAGGGGATCCAATTCTCTCATGCCCAAGGTCTGACCTGGAATTCAATCCCAGCTCCCAACCCAGATTTCAGGAAGAGTTCTATTAAAAGATTCTGTTACTAGGTCATTCCTACATCAGAACTCAGGATGGTGGGAGTCGGGCAACAGCCCAGAGGTTCAGATTGACCACAACCAAACCCCAGACATACTCACTTGCTGAGCTCCATCTGATTAACAAAAAGAAGCAAAAGGAACACTAATAAAACTAGGAAGACCCTTTCAAGGTATTTCACTAATAACAGGTCCTCAAGAGCTGTCTGGCCACTGGAGTGAAAAGGGTAACAACAATAACCAAAGCTAAGAAAGATCAGCCTACTAATATTACCCCCATTGTCTGTCTCCCTTCCCACCACCCCAAGTCCTTGGAGAAGTCACTGAAAGACATGCTACATTTAGCTTGTCCAGAGGCCTTTCCCAGACAAAAGTCCCCAAGGTACAAGAACTCAAATAAGGACACTACTTGGGAGATTGAAAATCAAAAGTTATTTATCAGAGGGTGATTGGAAAAGTCACGCTTTCTCGAGCCCAATTCCAGAATGGTCAGTGGGAGTCTCTCTCCTGTTAGCTTCATTGGTCCACCTACCCAATGGTAGATCTTCTACTGAAGGGGACAAAAGGGAAATCACAGTCCTCAAGGGGGCCCCAGAGTTCCCTTCCGATCAAGTCCCAGCTGAGGAGACAAACCGAACAAAGGGAGGACTCTTTCCACCACCAAAACCCACCTTCACAATTGCGGGCCTCCTATTCCCACAAGTAACTCAAGGAAAGCTCCATCTACCTTGCTTAGTCCTCATCAGGAAACACTGAACCTCTTCATACCCTTTGAGTCCTTCCTAAATATCCTTCCTTCACTTAGTACAGGGGCACTTATTAGAGACCCAGTGTTCACATTACTTACTCGCTCAAGGAAGATAGAGTGCCCAGGACTAGAAACTGGCATTGAAAATTTATCTACCAGATCAAAAGATAAAGTCTCTCCCAAGATGCTAAAGAGGCATTCCCACTTTAAGTCCACATGGTGTGGAAGGAGGGAATGGACTCAACCTGCTAAGAAAAGGGCTTTGGGGTTAAACACAACAGGCAAAGGGTTCCACCGGGGACTGGACAGATGAAGGAACGTAGAAATGACAGGGAATAGGGAAGGAGGGGATCCTGGTGGTAGTAAAGGAGAGTGGTGCCCTTTGACTAAGGGCCCAGATGGGGTAACTAAGCATGAGGGAAAGAGTCACTCAGAAGGCCAGATAACTAAGTTCTAGTCATGGCTTTTGCCAGCAACTCAGCATGTGACTTCGAGCTTACCTAGCCTTCAGTACCTTCATCTGCAAAACAGGAGAAAGAGGTTTGTCTAACTAGATGCCTATTATGGTCCTTTGAGAGTCTGGCATCCTCCACAAGCGTGATTGGTGGACTATGACGAGATATTCAGGAGGGGGCTAAAGAGGACTTTACCAGAGCGGGAAATGCCTTTCAGCCCCATCTCTAATGAAAGGGTCACATGTATACACATTCACACATACATAAGCAGAGTGGCCAACAATTTCATCCATAGCAGCAGAAACACTTACAGAGAAAAATAAATACTGGTGATGCTCAATTCCTGCACTGGGGGAGAGGGGTCCTGAGGATGTAACTTGGAGGGGCTCCAAGGTCAGGGTAGAAGGGTCCTCCTATTTGACAGTAACTTTCACCTTGCTGTCCCTTCTCCAAATCCAGAGCAGCTAGCTGTTTGAAAGAAGCCACTCCCACCTTCCCCTCCCCAAACCACCAACTCACCTGTTGCAGAAACAAAAATGCACAGACCCCAAGGGAAATAACCCCCTAGCTAGCCACTAAGAAATGAACAGAATCTACCACACCTGAGGTTATTTGGGAGTGTGGCCAGCTGGGACCAAAAACCCCTATTTCCCTGAACGTTAACAATGGTTCTGAAAGGTCTTGGTTTGGACCTATCTCACCCACCGTCACTTGGGTTTGCCCTCTTGGTGAAGTGGGAACTAGCCTGGATCACCCTTTTATTTCTGGTGCGTTTATGATTGTTTCCAAATTTTTAAACCAATATCATTGCGAGTGAGCCAGGAAGTTACTTCCCCAAGTAGCACTTCAAATTAGAAGAAAAGCTACGACACAAGTGCAGGGTTCCAACCCTTGCAACAGGACCTGCAAACAGGCTCGCACCACCCCCCAGACACCAAGAAGCATCTCCCAGCCATACATCCACATGGACTCTTACATGGCCTCTCCTATCAGAGGTAGCTGGGGCAGTTGGGGAGTGGGGGATATCAATCTCCTATCAACCTGTGATCCTTGTTTAAAATACACTAAAAATACATTAGTAAACATTGCTGTTTACAGAAATAGAAATCATTTCTGTTTCCAAAGGCCTCTCACCATCCCAGTCTTGGACATTTCCAAGACTGCCACCCCTGACACCCTCTCCAAGGTCCGCCCTGGTGGGTGGGTAAGACACTAGAGTCGTTTGAGACTGAGAGCTCCTCAGGCACCTGAGAATTCCAGTTTCACATCTCTGGTTCCCATGGAAGGGAGACTCTTCAGGACTCTGGAGAGTACCGGGGTTCATCCCTTCTTATCAGTTACTGGGGGCTGTCTTGAGGCAAACCCCCCTTTTTTGGATGATATACGTGTTGTAAGGATTCCTGCTATTTTCGGGCCCACAGTCCCTCCCCAGAGTCCAACGTGCCTGCCTGGACCCACCCTCAGAGCGGAGAAGCCAGTCTGTGCCTTGGTCTAATCACTCTGGGAAAGAGGGATGGGCAGAAAGAAAGCAAGGACAATGGTCTGGGGGATCGTCCTTGAGGGGACAACTAACAGCAATGACTGTCAGACAAGCAGGTGGTAAAGCTGGGCACCTGCCCGGGGACGGAGCCGGAGCTGTCCACCAGGTTGGCGGGTTGCGAGTCCACGCGGGGAGTGCGACGGCGTCCCCGGTACTCGATCATGTCGGGATGATAGGCTGGGTGGCGGCGGGCGTGCTTGGTCAGGTGGTCGCTCCGGGAGAACTGCTTGGGGCAGAGGGGGCAGGAGAAGCGCTTCTCGCCCGTGTGCGTCCTGTAGTGGCGGGCCAGCTCGTCGGAGCGCGTGAACTTCTTGTCGCAGTCGAGCCAGTCGCAGGAGAAAGGGCGCTCACCCGTGTGGGTGCGCTGGTGGGACTTCAGATGCGATGACTTGTAATAAGCTTTGTTGCAGCCCGGGAAGGGGCAGCGGTGGCGCTTGGCAGCAGGTGTGACTGGCCTCCGACGGGGGCCTGGACCCGTGGCGGGGGCCGGGCCCGCCCCAGGGGCCACGCCGGAGACCGCGCCAGGGTGGGCAGGCACTCCCGGGATGGCTGGCGCGCCAGGGACCGCGAGCGCGCGGGAGGAGTGCACGGGTCCGGAGACCTCGGCCGCGCTGGTGGCCGGGGTCGGCTTGGAGCACAGGATCGGGCCGGAGCACGGGGTCGGGTCGGAGGAACCGGACGAGGCGCGCAGAGCTTCCCCCGAGTAGTCTCCAAAGCACCCCCCAGAGCCGCCGCGCAAGTCAGCCAAGACGCTTGCAGCCAGCAGGTGGGGCGCGGCGCCGCCCGCGCAGGGGCTGGGGGCGGGGACCTGGGGGAACGGGGGGACCGACACGGGCCCCGGTGGCCCCGGACCCGGCAGAGCGGACTCCGGCGGCGCCGCACCCACCTCCGAGCTTGCCGCTCCGCCCGCGCCCTCGGGGTCCGGCAGGCGGCGGTGAACCACGGCACCCGCGGACATGGACACCAAGCACTCGGCGGCGAAGTAGTCCAGGCACGCCACGGCAGCCGACATGCTGGCACCGCCGGGCCGCCGGCGCGCGCCGTCCGGGCGCGGCCGGCCGCGGGCGAGAGAGTTCTCGGGAACGTCCGTCCCGCAGCCTCGGAGCGAGAAGCAGGAGGCCCGGTGCGCGCCGCCCGCCACCCGCCGCCGCCGCCGCCGCCGCCGCCCGCGCGGCGCCCGCCCCGCCTGACGCGCCCCTGACGCACCGGAGCCCGCGGGGGCGGCGGGACCCGCCCCGGCCGCAGGACACCCCCTCGGAACGCGCGGCCCACCGGGCTAAGTCATTTTTAACAGCCTAAGAAATTATCTTGTCTTCGCGTTCTTGCCTCTGCTGGTGAGCCAGGTAATTTTAATAAAGAGAAAACTCCCCGATCGTAACTTCTGGGCAGCCTGCCGGCTTCGCTCCCCCTTCGCCCGCTGGTCCTCCGCCAGCTGGGTGTCCGGCGGAGTCCGAGAAACTTTTTTTTTTAGGGAAAAAAATGCTTATACCTGACATGTCTTTCGATTCATAATTACGATTGTTAGTTAAGCGGGCTGGAATTACATTTCACTTCTGTTACCGCTGTCAGATCGAATTTAAAATATCCCCGAGTCTTCATCAAAAAAGTTTTCTCATCTAACAGTTCCACTGCTAACCCAGGGTCGGTACCAATTCCCTAAATAGAGCCACTACGTAGCCATTAATTAATAGCATTTTGAACCAGAAACATTTTTAACCTTGAAAAAAAGCAAAGAATCCCCTCATGGTTGAAATTGAAACTTAAAATCCTTTGAGTAACGATTTAACTATTCAACCGACGAAAGAAAAATGCATGTTTAAACTGCTTTAACCTGTCACAGGCATACAAACAAATTTCCACGCTGTAATATAAATTATAGACTAGCAGCGAGATAAACACATTAAAATGGATTCCCACAATTTTAATAATAGAAAGTCACGTTTCCAATTAGGCAACATCTTTTATTTTTCTCTTGACAAAAATTAAAAATAAGAAAATGCAGCAATTTATATAGAATTGCTCATATGGCGTTTTGTGATTGTGGAGGTTTTTCTCTTTATATAATCAGATATATGTATATATATGTTTACATTTCTTCACTGCCTTCATTTTTTTCTTCTTTTGAATTTTAAAAAATTAAAAACACAGAAAAGCAAACAGGATAATTTCTAAAAATAGTCATAGCGTATCGTTTTTGATGTATACAAGCTTTACTTACATATTTTTGAATTATGTGCAGTTTATTTGCAATTCTTCAGTACTTATTCTTTTGAACATTAAAAATACATATATCTCAAGAATAACAAATATTCATGTATTACTTCTTAGGGTAATCAAATGTGAAATATTTGTCACATTTGCTTCAGGTTTTTTATTTTTATTAAAAATTCCAGATAGAGTTGAATGTCACCTTATTTTCCTCCCCAGTTCCATTCACCTTTCTCTCTCTTTACTTGCCTAGGTAATCAGTATCATAAAGTGTGTATTCTTCCAGCATTGTTATTATTCTTTATTACCTAATTACCTATATATTATATGTAAATATATATGTCCATGCTTATATATTTTAAATTTTCTTTATAAATGGTACAGTAGTGTACATATCATTTTGCAACTTACTTTTTCCCCTCAGTATGATTTTGAGAACTATCCATGTTGACACTTATAGAATCTGCTTTATTCATTTCAGTAGTTTTATGATCTTGTCAGCTTTTATCTTTATGGAGATTCTATTCTAAAACAGATAATTATTATAAAGCTGCTTGCTTCAAAATTTTAGACAATTAACTCTTTATCTACACGTATTAAAATTCTATCAGATAGAATTCTTTACTAGCTGTTTTTTAAAAATATTATTATTTAGAAAAAATCTAAAGCTATTTTAAAATGCAGAGAGAGTATTACAGGCACCCATGCACCTATCTCATGTAATTGGTAAATGTTAGCATTTTGCCATATCTGCTTCAGGTCTGTTTTTTTTTTTTTAATTGAACTATTCGACATTCTGATAAAATTGAAGTCCCTTTGCACTCCTCCCCAAAACCATTCTCCACCCTTTTCTCCAAAGGCAAACATTATCACGAATTTGGTATGTAACTTTTAAATCTAGGCTTTATACTTTTACTACATATGAACCCATACAAATACAGAGTACTGTTTTGATTTTTTAAATGCACAGGTGTGATATCGGACTATGCATATTCTGTGACTTGTTTTTTTTTTTCCTTCATGGTATGTTTTCATTCTTTCCATGTTGATAAATATAAATCCAGTGCATTCATTTTAATTGCTATATTGTAGATCCATGCATGTGAACGTGCTGGGTTTATTCATTCCCCTGTTGATGAATATTTAAGCTGCTGCCAATATTTTGGCATTAGGGGCAATGCTAATATGAACATATGTGTACATGTGTCTTCTGTAGGTAGGTAGAATTTCTCTGTCTACCTATATGGGGAATTGCTAGGTTACACACACATTTTCAGTTTATTAGAGACTGCCAAATGGTTCTCCAATTTATACACCCATCAGCGGTGTATGAGAGTTCTTGTTTCCCTCACATGACCTTCCCTTACTTTCTAGATTCAGACTTTTCTTATTTCTGACAATTTGATTTTTTTTTTTAAAGCTCAGGATCTCATCGCTTTATTTGGATTTCCCTCACTGCCAACGAGGTTGAGCATATATTTACTGGTTATTAAGGTTTCTGAGTCTGTGGTTTGTTTTTTCATAGTCTTCATCCGTTTATCCAGTGGGCTGTGTATGTTTTCATCTTTTTCCCTCTTGATTTGTAGGAGTTCACATATATTAACATTATATTGTCTCATTCTGTGACTTCTCTTTTAACTTCCAATAACTTTTGAACTATAGAAAATTTAAAATGTAGTCATATTCACTGATCTTCTTTATAGTTTGTGTCATTTATGTCATATTAAAGACAACTCTCCACACGTGATGCCACAAAGATAGCCTCCTATGTTTTTTCCCTTAATGTTTTAAAGTTTTGTTTTCCACACTTGTAAAATTGATCCATCCAGGACTTATTTTTTGGAAGGGTGTGAAGTAGGAACTTAATTTTATTCTCCCTCCCCCTACATGGAAAACCTGTTGTCATGACCTGATTTACTAAACAGTCTTTCATTCCCCCCGTTAATGTGTAATGCCACTGTGATTATAAATTAAATTTCCGTACATTCATGGATATATTCCTACTTTGTCCTTTTCTACTGATCAAACCAATTCTGAGACGGTACTACAAAGTTTTAATTATTATGGCTTTATTATAAGTCTTCACCTGTAGAAGGGCATTTCCTCCATTTGTTCATTAAAAAAACTGTACCAGCTATTTTTTGGACTTCTGCTCTTCCATGTTAACTTTAGTATCAGTTTGTCAACTTCCACTGAAAACTCTTCTCAGTATTTTGCCGAGTTAAATTTGTAGGTTAAATTTTGGGAGATATGACATCTTTATAAAACTGAGTCATCCAATACATTAATATTATTCTGATTTCCTCATATCCTTCCATAACATTTTATACTTTGCGTATAAAATGCTTGTACCTCTTTGTTAGATTTATTCCTCAGTACCTTACAGTTTTTGTTGCTTTTTCAAGTGGGATCCTTTAAAAAATTTTTAAATTGGTTAGTGCTGCTGTTTGGAAAAGTTACTGATTTTGGAATAATCCTGGGTTTTTTGGCTGTGCCACGCGGCTTGTGGGATCTTAGTTCACCAACTGGGAATTGAACCCGGGCCCTTGGCAGTAAGAGCGCAGTGTCCTAACCACTGGACCGCCAGGGAATTCTCATGGAATAATCCTGTTTTAGCAAATATGCTGAACTTTCTTACTGTTTATTTGTAAATTCTCTTGTATTTTTATGTAGATAATATTATCCTTAAATAATACTCTTAATACTTTCTCCTTTTCTTATGTCATTGGATGGGCTGGGACCTCCAATATAACATCAAATAGCAAGAATGAGAGCAAGCATTGTTTTCCTATTTCTATCTCATTGAGAATGTTTCTAATGTGTCATCATTATTTATGGTAGTTGCTATAAGTTTTTGGTAGAAACGCTTTATAAGGTTAGGGAGTTCCCTTCTATCCCAGTTGAGTTTGAAGTAGGAATATTTTAAAACCATGAAATGAACATTGAATTTTGTTAAGTGCTTTTTCTAAAACTTTTGAGATGATTATCGGTTTTGTCTTTGATATGTTAAATTAACGGGTCACTTTGATAGATTTTTCTAACGTAGATTTATCCTTGCATTCTTTGACATAAACCTTGTTTTGCCATAATGTACTATTATTTTTTAATACACTACTTCATGCAATTTGCAAGTGCTTTTTATTTTAGGATCTATGTTCCTAAATGATATTGGCTTATGATCTTCATTTCTTGTGCTACCTTTGTCCATGTTTATACCACTCTCATAAAATGCATTTAGAGGTGTTCCTTTTTCTACTTCCTGTAACGATTTGTATGAGATAGGTATTATTTGTTCCTTGAATGTTTGGTAAGTCTCATCTGTGAAACAATTATATTTTGAAAATTCAGTTCAGTTTCTCTCATGATTATTAGTTTATTTGGATTTTCTATTTCTTCTTGAGTCAACTTTGTTAATTCACTTTTTTTTCTTTAAAAATTAGGTATTACATTTAAGCCTCTAAAATGTTGGTATGTGGTTCACAGCATTCCCTCATTATTTAAAAATTCTCTACAGTATCTGTAGTTATATCCTCCTTTTCATTCCTGATATTACATACTTGTGAATTCTCTTTTTTTCTTTTTGTCTTAACAGGTTTGTCTTAAAATGTAGACAACAGAGGTTTGTCTACACTTTAAGACAAACCTATAGAAGTGTGTCTATAATCTTTTCAAATAGTCAGCTTTTGCTGATCATATCCATTTCTTTTAAAATATATTTAATTTCTATATTTTTATTAATCTCTCACACTTTTGTCTAGTTTAGCATGTTACACCTTTTTTAAAAAAAAGTTTTTCAACTTAAATACCTAACACATTAATTTCCAATCTTTCTTATTTTTTCTTTTTGAATAAATTTATTTATTTATTTATGGCTGCGTTGGGTCTTCGTTGCTGTGCGCCGGCTTTCTCTAGCTGCGGCGAGTGGGGGCTACTCTTCCTTGCGGTGTGCAGGCTTCTCATTGCGATGGCTTCTCTTTGTTACAGAGAACAGGCTCTAGGCGCACAGGCTTCAGTAGTCGTGGCACGTGGGCTCAGTAGTTG